ACTTTTCAAAATGACCATCACCAGACCCCTCACTTCCTTCCAGGCAGAAGGGGCAATTTGTGCAAAAGCACAGGCCTCTGAGGGCTTTCTCTGCATGTGAGAGGAATGGCAAGAGTTGCGTATCACTGAGGATTGGGAGCGGGAAAACACAGGATATGAGACTGAAAATGAGACAGAGCTAGTGAGTGAAAGTCCTTGAATGCCACACTGAGCAGCTCCAGAAGTTGATCTCTGGTTGTACACCATTGAAGTAAGAACAGAAGCCATCTTTTCAGTCCCAGAGTGGAGGAAACGGCCCGTGTGGTCCTTGTGTTGTAAATGGCTGTGAGGTGGAGTTTAGTGTGAGCTCTCCACAAAGAAAGCCCTGTCTCTAGGCCATCAGTACAGATCTGGTCCTTACCACCAAGAGCATGTGGGCAGAACGGAATGACTGTGGATGTGTGTCGACAGAAGAGGGTCTCAGAACCCCAAGGTGAGGCCCTGTTGGCTCTGTCGGTTCCATTCAGCTATTCACAGTGCCGGTGGGACCCTGCCAGCCCTGGTCGACATGAGTGTCACCTCGGTTGCCCTGAGCCCGGCCTACATTAATACAGTGGAAGAGGAAGGGTGGCTGTGTTGGTTTGTGGGTTTTGTATTTTCTATTTAAAGATGTATTTTCATGTGCCAGTTGTTTAAAAGACTACCCAGAGTCTTTCAAGGGCTACGTGGGCACTTCAGAGTGTGATTCAGATGTGAAATTGCACCTAAAAGATGTTTGAAGGGAGATGAGGGCACATTCGTGCCAATGTAGGTTTGGGCTGCATGGTAGCTGCAATTTGAACTCGGCCCTCCTTCTTCTCAGAGAGCTGCAGACCACAAGTCACCCTGGGGACTGCATTCTGTGCAGTGCAGTTAATTATGGCCACGCTGTTTCAGCTGCTCCCTCCTGGTTTTCTCTCGGACTCTGCAGACCTACACCACGCGTTTGCAGTAAGCAGGGTACGCCCAGCTAAGGTGTTCGATGAGCCCAGGTCTCAGCGCCTCCAAGTGGGTTCTTCTCTCTCCTTGGTGCCCTTTCCCCTTTTCCTGGAACCTCCTGGAATGTCTTAGAGGTGACAACACTGAAGCTTCAACCTAGGGATAAAAGCTTCAACAAGATCACACCACTAGTTAAGTAGGTCCAGAACTTAGCCCAGCCTTCAGGTCTTCTGACTTTTTTCTTAACAGTTGATGGTGATGAAATGCCATCATACCATAAGATTTGCTCTTTGAGCATACTGTTCAAAAAGCTTTAATAAGTTTATACAGTCACAGCACATCACCACAGTTCAGTTTTAGGACATTCCCTCGCCCAAGCTAGTTCCTTCGAGCCCCCTGGTTGTCCGTCCCCAGCCCCTGGCCCCAGGCCACCACTGGCTGGTGAATTTTTACTTCAGTGTTCATTCTGCAAGTTGGCTCTTTTACTTTCTGCTTTTAACTGGGTAAAAGCTATAGATGGTTAACTGAAATATGAGTTAAATGTGTCAGTAGCTTTACCTTCAGTTACTGTCCTGTGGGATGTCATACAAAGCTCCATATGTGCCAGTCCCCGGGCAAAATGCTTTGGACAGCAGAGCAACCCTTCGAGGAAGAAACCAGAACCAGAGTTTACAGATGTGGGAAATAAAGGTTCCATAAGGTCATCAATGCCCTCAGATCACACAGTCCCTGCAGAATTGGGCTCCCTCCCACATTTAGTTAATTCCAGACCCAAAGTTCTTCAATCCAAATGCTCTGCCCTGTCCTGGAATTTTTTTTTTTTTTTGAGTTGGAGTCTCACTTAAATGTGATAGAACATTGCCTCTTACTAAGAACCATGCTACTTAAGTATATTTCTGAAAAGGGTTATCCTTAAAATTACAGAATGGAAATGAAAGTGGAGATTTTGTTGACCAAAGTTACTTTGATTTTTTTTTTTTTACATACCCTTAAGTGAATTTTCACATTACGGTTTTCCATGGCAAATTGCCACAAGCATTGACAATTGGGGCCACCAGGCATCCATTTATTCTTAATTGTGGGCAGCCTGCAAACTCAGCCTGGAGCACTTAAAATTGAAACCTTCATTTTCGACCCTGGATTTGAGACAAGTAGGAGTTTAGTACCTTGAGAGAGAGCCCACCAGCTCCCCGCTTTCCAGGAGCGTCACCTGGGTAGACGCCATGCAGGCCCCAGCCCTCCGCTTCCTGGGCCCGCCTCCTTCCTCACCCAGTGGTTGTGATTTTCAGTGCTGAAGCCCCAGAGAGCAGGCTGCTGTTTCTACCTTGCTCGAGGGCCTCTTTCCGGTCGTGAGTCTGTCGCTGAGCTTCTCTGGGCCTCTTTTGCCCCCTCTCAGGTGTTTCTTTCTGTTCCAGGAGAGTCATAGAACCAGATGCTTGGGGTGTCATTCTATAGTGAAGAAGGGCCAGCCACGTTGCTTTCTTTCTTGGTCACAGCCCCTGGAGGTGAGGTGCTCTTTCCAAGGTGTTTTTGTCTGAGCTTTGAGCCACACACACATGGTGAAGAGGGAGGAGACAGGCTGAGACAAATTCTGGCTGGAAGAAATTATCCCAGGACCTGTCTCAGAGCTTGTTCCATATCTTGAAACGAGTTGAAAGGGCATTGCTGTGGTGGTAGTGTTTCCAGCGGCATTTCGAGCACTGATTGGCTCAGGACATGCTTGCACCCACTGTCAAGCAGGCCCAGGAGGGATCACAGTCACAAGATGGTTCCTGAGCCGTGTGCTCTGCTCTCACTCTAGAAAATTAAGTTTGAAGCCTGAAACGAACTCTTTGCTGGAATGGGAATGCAACGAGGTTTCACTCCTTTCCAGACGAAGCTTCTAAAGAGAAATCGGGCCTCCCCAGAGAGCGGGCTCCTGTTTCCCGCTTGCTCATGGGCCTCTTTCCGGTTGTGAGTCTGTCACTGAGCTTCTCTGGGCCTCTTTTGCCCCTTCTCAGATGTTTCTTTCTGTTCCAGGAGATTCACAGAATCAGATGCTTGGGGTGTTTTTATATAGTGGGGAATTAGGCCTTTTGGTCTCTAAAAACTGCTGTTCGTGACCTCTGGGCCTAGCATTTTGAGACAAACGTGGATGGCGTGGGTGGCCCATGGAGTGCCCTGACTCCACCAGCTTGACATTCAGTGCCCACTAGATGTGGAGCATTGCCCGCTCGGCAGGCCCAGTCAGGGGCTCGCCACTCCATTCAGCGGTGCAGGGTCATGACTGTTCCTTGCTTTGCTCTCCCACTGATTCTTCATGAAGATGCCTGTCCATGTTCAAACACCTGTCATCAGTGGTGTGTTTGTGTGTCGTTTTCTGTGGGTGGTAGAGGCTGTTGTTTTAGGAGCCAGGAAAGTCATCAACCCAGGTTGACATGCCAGCTCAGACCTCTTACCGCTTATGCCACCTTGAGCCCTCAGAACAAAGATGCTGATGACCGTCTTGCAGGGTGTGGTGTCATAGATGTCACAAGGTGAACTGAGGCAGTGCCTATGCATGGTGTCTGCATCAGCATCTCTGAGGTGCAGACTATCAGTTCCCCTTTTCAGAAATGCGGCCGGATCCACGAGGTGTAGACAGTGTGCCCTTCATGAGTACTAGCAACTTTTTGAAGCTGTAATTGTTTTTAAAGCATTTCTGTGATAATAAGGTAGATATGTTCCTTGAAAAATATATTAAACAAAAATCAGACAATGGAAATAAGACTTTGAGGAAAAACATAGTTGGGGCAAACATTTAAAACTAGACAGTAGTAATAATCCTCAAAATAATGATACTGACAGAGTTCAAAAGACATGTCAGATTCCTAAAAATAAATATCCTGGTAAACATAGGACTTCACACACACACACAGACACACACACAGACACACACACACACACACACACACACACACACACACACACACACACCTTCTCAAAGGCAGGTGGGTGGGTGGGAGGGGGTGTCAGACAACAGTCAGGGCTGCTGAATTTGGAGACAAGGACAGAAAACACAGAGACTGGGGAGAATCTGCTGTGAACCTGGCATGCAGCTCTGAGGCAGTGTTTGGCCGACCGAGTCCTAGGGAAGGCTGTGGGGTAAGGGGGCGTTGGCGCCATGTTCCTCTGAGGCTGGTTGCCTTCAGCTGGGCTTAAGCGTGCAGCATTCAGCAGTGGGTCCCTGCTGATGCAAAACACGACACGCTGGGAAAATGCAGATGAACCCAAAGCAATTTCTGTATCAAGGGGACATTGTTCCCTGATTACACCGAAGGTAATTTGCATTCCAGACAGGGAGGCTCAGCACCCCAGCTGATGAAGAAGCCTGTTTCTCATCCTGCTAGATGGAAACTTGAAACATGAAACCTCTTTTTTAAATTGTGGTTAAGAAAAAGCAACATAAAATGTGCCCGCGTGATTATTTTTAGAGGAACAGTTCAGCAGTGTTAAGTATATTTACACTGTTGTGAAGCACATGTTTAGAACATTTTCATCTGTGCACACCTGAAACTCTATCCATGAAACAATCCTCCCCCTTTCCTTCTCTTCAACCCCTGGGAACTAGCATTCTACTGTTTTTGTGAATTTGGCTACTTTCATCATATAGTACTTGTCTTTTTGTGCCTGGCTTATCTCACTTTGCATAATGTCCTCAGAGGTTACCCATGTGACAGCATGTGACCTAATTTGATGAAATCTTAAGCACTTCAAAGTACATTTTTCACCCCATATATGTGAACAGTGAGGGGCCAGGATTAGGAGGGGTGAGAGTCCTTCCTGCTTTACTTGTGCAATGAAATAAATACCCTTGTTGCGTTTATCTTCTTGTCGTGTGATTCTCCCAGGTTGTTTCTTCAGGTTTCTGAGCGTAAACTAATTCTAAAAGGCAAGTGCTCTGTGTTAAAAGACAGTCACAAATAAGGGAGCTGCAGCAGACATCACAGGACATGATGCCATCTGTGAGAGTCGGATAATGCCAGAGAGATTTCTAAACTCGGACTGGTGTTGTTTCATTCCAGAGAGCCCAGAAATATGCTCAGCAAGTTCTGCAGAAGGAGTGTCGGCCCAAGTTTGCGAAGTCGTCCATGGCACAGTTGTTTGAGCACAGGTATAGCATGGACCTGCTGCCTTTTGTGCAGAAGGCCCCCAGCGCGAGTGAAGCCGAGTACAAGTATGATCCTCCTTTTGGGTTCCGGAAATTCTCCAGTAAGATCCAGACCCTCTTGGAACTGTTGCCAGAGCATGATTTTCCTGAGCACTTGAAAGCCAAGAGCTGTCTGCGCTGTGTGGTGATCGGAAGTGGCGGGATCCTACATGGACTAGAGCTGGGCCAGGCCCTGAACCAGTTCGATGTTGTGATAAGGTACATCGCTTTTAAAACCGACCTTTCTCTGCTAGAACTCAGTCTACTGCTCTTGCCCAGGGCAGCTCCAGGTACATTGAGGGACACAGGAAGTGCTCACAGGCCCTGCCCTCGAGGGACTCACTGTTAGAGAAGTCACAGCCAGTGCACAAAAAGATGGGAGGCCCCAGACGCCACACCGACCTTCACTTTGAGGAGCCCCTGGATGCAGGAGGTGCAGAGCCTTTCCAGAGGCGGTGAGGCTGGGGAAGAAGGATGAGTAAATTTGGTTAGCCAGCAAAAGAGGAAGTCTGACTTCCAAAGCAGAGGCCTGGGGGTGGTGAGCACTGGATGGCGGTGCTGGCTGGTGCTGGCACCCAGAGGGGCTTGAGCTCACCACGAGAGGCAGTAGACAGTCATCCTAGATGTTTCTTGGTGTCCCTGTTTAGAAATTGTTTTTCTGATTATAAAAGTAAAATAGAGCCAAATGTGATAGCTCATGCCTCTAATCCCAGCACTTTGGGAAGCTGAGGTGAGAGGATTTCTTAAGCCTAGGAGTTCAAGAACCAGCCTGGGCAACATAGTGAGACCTCCTCTCTACCAAAAATTTTAAAATTGACCAGGCATGGTGGTGCACGCCTATAGTCCTGGCTACTCGGAAGACTGAGGTGGAAGGATCGCCTGAGCCCAGGAGTGGGAGGTTTTGGTGAGCCGTGAGTTTGCCACTAGGTGATAGAGTGAGACTCTAACTCAAAAAAAAAAAAAAAGTAAAATAGGTTTATTATTGAAGATTAGAAAAATATAAGAAAAAATAACTGACAGCACAGACAACCAATGATGATAAACTTGCTGTTTTTCTTCCAATTTTGTTGTATACACATACTGAGTGCATTTAGATTTTTATAAGGTAGTTTGCTTTTGTAAACTTAATATTGCAATAGGTTCTGAGGTCATCAGATGTCTTGGAAGACTTGTTTTAGTAAGCGTTTCCTATTCCTTTTTATATGAGAGCACTGTGAGTCGCTTAATTGTTCTCTTGCTGGACAGCCAGAACGTTCTCACTTTTCTTTGTTATTGTGAAAATGCTTGACATATCTCATACATGTGTCTTTATGTCCATCTCTGATTACTTCCTTGGAGAAGTTCCTTGAAGTAGAATTGTGGGCGTCAGGGTATATGGGTGTTTTTCAAGCCCTTGATACCCTGTGGCCAACGTGAGTTGTCTCCATCTTCAGGAGGTGCAGAGCCAGGAGCATGATGAGAGCAGCCGTGGGCCAGACTGGAAGCCGGGAAGGGAAGGCTGGGGGCCGGGGTTTAGTGTGTGAGCCTGGAGCCAGATGCAGGAAATGGAAATAGGAACAAGAGATTACACCTGAAGGCATATTGACGAGGTAAATGACAAGGCTTTCCGGCCATTTGACAACTCACATCAGGAGGCACTAAGATTTCTAGTCTGGGTGGGGGTCTGAGACATTAGTGGAACCAGTGTCAGAAATGGAATAGTGGAAAATTCTCTGGTTGTGAGGGAGGATGACAGGATCCGTCTTGGATATTTTGAGCCTGAAAGTAATTATGTCTTCACATAGTACCTTTGTCCCCAGTAGCCGTGACTTTGGGCAAGTTTCCAAACTGTCCTGTGCCTCCGTTTCCTGATCTGTGAGATGGAAACAGTAATAGTGCATCCCTTATGGGGACAGACGCGTTAGCAGACAGAAGCTCTTGGATTCGCGTCAGGATTGCAGCAGAAGAAGGAACACTGAGTCTGAAAGCAAGGGGTGTCGGCACAGGCCGCAAGAGAGCAGGAATGGTGTGAAGTGAGAGAGTCAGAGCATGGAGTGGCCAGGCTTGGGTGACGGGGCACACCAGCTGCCTCTGCTGGGCGTTTTTTGTGCACAGGCGCTGCGTCAAGTGATGGGGCTATTCTCATTCCTTAAAATAGCCCAAGGAGTGAAGCGCTCACAGTCAGCCAGGGGCATCAATGAAGACACAGTGGCATCACAGGATGGCCTTGGGTGTGGGCCAGGCCTTAGAATTCCTCGGCTCCAGTCAGGGTCAGAGGCTTCCAGAACCTTGGAGAGAGAAATGCTCACCTGTGTGCGGGCAGCACTGGGAGAACTAGGGCCGGAATCCCACGCCTGGAAAATAGTACGTGACTGCTAGGGGAGAGGAGGGAGAGCCAGGGGTGCTGGCGGTGCACACCTGGGCCCGCGGACAGACGTAGGTGAAGGAGGAGGGGCAGCCTGGAGCTGGCCTTGGAGAAAGGCGGGATTTGGCTCTTCACAGAGGGAGCATGGGGGGAGGGCGAGGCAGGAGGAGGAGGGAGGGGCCTCAGGAGACGTGGAGTGGTGGTGGTTACCTGATTGGGGGTCGTGGACTTCGTGCACCAAGAAGCCACTGGGCATTGGACACAGGGAGGGTGGCTTTGAGCCTGAGGCGAAGGTCAGCTAAGAAGCTTTCTTATCTTTCTACAGCCTTTAGGTTTAAAACAGTTCCAAACTTAACAGAAAACTTGCAGGAATCGTGCAAAGAACTCCCATCTACCCTTCTCCCAGATTCCCTGGTTATCAACAGTTTATCACATCTGCTTTTTAATTTTCTTTTTATATACAGTTATTCTTTTCTGGACTCTTTGAGAGTTCGTTGCAAATATCAAACCCCTTTACCTCCAAATACTTCGGTGTGCATTTTCTAAGAACAAGGACATTCTATTAAAGAACCACAGAACATATTTAATTAGGAAGTTAACACAATGCAGTTAATTCATTGTATTAATAAACGAATGCAGACCCTATCCTCAGACCCTGTTCAGGCTTCACCAGTGATCTCAATATATCCTTTAATTTAAAAAAAAAAAAAGAGAGAGAGAAGAAAGAAGAATGTTTAAAATCTGGTCTAGGATCATGCCTTGCATTTGTCACATCTGGTGACATCTTTTAATAATCCAGGGTTTAGGTGTTCAAGGTTTAGAGGTGGCAGTGGGATAGAACGAAGGTTTGATGCAGGTGTAGTGACAGGTAAACAACCAAATTGACTTTTGGGGGGGATTTCAAAACTGTGTAGCAGGGTGAGTGGTACTACTTTTGGAAGAATTCTTAGAATTCCCCCAAGACAAGTGCCCTGGCCTTCAGTGAACTGAACGAAATAAGTGCCCTGAGTCCTTTCTTGCAGGCCAGGTGGCGCACCTGCAGCCCAGTGCCCATCTTTCTCTAGTAGAACTGCAGTTGTGTGTGCCTTGCCTGAGTTCCTAGATTTTCCTTTCTGGTTACTTTTTTGAAATTCTAGCCAGGCCACTGACGTCTGAGCACAACGGGAAATTTTCAAGGAAACTTTCCTGGTGTCCAGAGAAAGCCCCAAATGTAATATGCTTGGGTTGGCCAAAAATAACAAGACTAGGTGGAATTGCTTGGCATTCAGGGATTGGCTTCGAGCTTTCCGTCATGGACTAGAGGCTGCAAAGGATGGAGCTCTGAGGGAACAGGAGACTGCTGGGAAGGATGGCCTACCCCCCACCGCACACTCATTTCCAGGCCTAAGAAAACGTGGAGGACATGACATGGGATGTTGTGTGGTGTGATAATGCAGCGTGGCTCGCTTCATCAATGTGTCTTTGTCCTTTTTATTTAAATAGGTTAAACAGTGCGCCAGTTGAGGGATATTCAGAGCATGTTGGAAACAAAACTACTATAAGGATGACTTATCCAGAGGGTGCACCACTGTCTGACCTTGAATATTATTCCAATGACTTGTTTGTTGCTGTTTTATTTAAGAGTGTGGACTTCAACTGGCTTCAAGCAATGGTAAAACATGAAACCCTGGTAAGCACTAGAAATTATTCTATCAAATGTGCCTTATAGAAAGTGAAGGAGTCTCTGGTTGTATTTACAGACTTATTTTTAAACACACACAGTGGAATGCATGCTTTTGTATTGTTTTTCAAATGACAGTCACTCCTCTTGTAGAAACCCCTCAGAACTTAGAACTCCTTTGATGCAGATGGCTTTCAGAACCTTATTAAGAGTCATATGTGAAAATGGTGATCATTACTTAATGCGAATATCAATATTGGAACCAAAACTGCTATTCACGAGGTGGATCGCCCATCTTATTCTCCACCCTTGAACTTGCGTGGCTTTTAGCTAATTCCAGAAATTAGATTTACTTGGATGAATATAAACCATTATTGAGGACATTCAAAACAATATATGTAAAATCGCTAAGCAGTATTCCTAAAGAGATTCTCCAAAAATGCTTTGGCAAGTGGTTCCCTTGCTGGAATAAATTTACGGCACTCCAGAGTGGCATATGTGGAGAGGAGGGGGCCCTTCCTCAGTCATATTCTTTTTGTTTGTCTTTACCATAATCAATCTCATTACTCTATAATCCCATCCATTATATTCAAATAAATGTCAGAGGTCAACTGTCAAGGAGTGTGTGCACATGTGTGTACATGCACAAACCAGCTGTCCGTAAAAGTAATAGGACACATTAGACTTTTCACAGAAGCTCCGTGTGATGGAGAATTTGTATCTCCAAAGCTTGATTCTGCACAGGTTATCGTGCACGGTCTCCTGGATCGTCTGTGGGGCACAAGATCTAGCTGGAAGGTGAAGCCCACATGCAGTGACTTGCAGTCAGGAAACAGAGTTAGTGGAGAGAGAGAATGCAGGGGGAGCCCATCCGATGGGCCCGCAAGTCCTACCCTTAAATTGGACCCACTTGCTTGGTCTTCCCTGGGCAAAGTGGATGTCTGTGATCCACAAAAGGAGTACCGCTGAGGAATTCCTGTCACACACGCATGAGAGCTGGTTTGGCAGTTCCTCTGTTGTGCAGCACCACCTTCACAAATTGGATCTCAGATTGGCTTTCTTGAGTAGAGGTCATGGATTTGCGTAGATCTTAGTGACTCTGCTGTAGAACGCATTACATAGGGTCCCCTGGGTTCTCCCATCCGCTGGGAGGATGACTAACGATTGTTTGCTCTCTTTCCTTAGCCATTTTGGGTGCGACTCTTCTTTTGGAAGCAGGTGGCAGAAAAAATCCCGCTGCAGCCAAAACATTTCAGGATTTTGAACCCAGTTATTATCAAAGAGACTGCTTTTGACATCCTTCAATACTCAGAGCCTCAGTCAAGGTTCTGGGGCCGAGATAAGGTGCTTTTGTTGCTTCTCAAAGTTAACTGTTCTTTGCTATGTTTGAGGGGAAATGTGTAGATTTCACTTGGGCTCGACTGTATACCCAGAAGCATCTCCAGTGGAAAAACCTACCATTGATTTGACTTTTTCTATGTTAAAGTTTAGCCCTCCACATTTTGACTGCAGGGCTCCTCATCGTTTAACTGGCCTTCTCTTGGTGACTCACTCTTTTCTTTAGTCCCTGAGACATTATTTAAGATTTTTTTTTTTTTTTTGAGTTGAAGTCTCACTCTATCCCCTAGACTGGAGTGCAGTGGCCGCTCCCAGCCACCGCAGCCTCGACCTGCTGGGCTCCGGTGATCCTTCTGCCTGAGCCTTCCGAGTAGCTGGAACTACAGGCGCGCACTACCACACCCGGCTGATTTTTGATTTATTGTAGAGATGAGGTCTCGCCAAGTTGCCCAGGCGGGTCTTGAACCCGTGGGCTCAGGCAATTCACTCACTTCAGCCTCCCAAGGCGAGGGATTACAGGCTGAGCCACTGAGCCCGGCTTATTTAAGATATTCTTACTCCAGGATTCCATATAACCACAGGACTGGAAGGAACTTGGCTGGTCTGAAAAGTACTTTACATTGTAACTCTGTGGACCACTGAGATAATAATTGCTTTTTATTGTCATTTTATAGGTGATAGTAAATAAAGTCAAACCTCCAGAGCAGTGTTTCTCAATGAATGCCTGGGTCCCACCTCAGACATTCTGATTTAATTGGTGTGTGCTTTAAGATTTTCAAAATTCCCTGAGGGATTTTATTTTGCAGCCTAATTTGAGAAACTTTTGTGCTCAAGACTGTTTTTTACAGTAGAGATTATTTACCTGCAATTTGTATATGTGCCACCAGGGGGTGGGGTAGGCATGCCTTTATAACCTGTAGCTTTGTGATCTGAATAACCTGTCTTTAAGACTTTTAAGAACTTCTGTGGAAATCTCAAACAAAATGTATCACATATATACCACAAGTAAACACTCCCAAAACACAAAGCATTCTTATTACATCAAAAAGAAAAAGATGAGCCAGTAGAAAACAGGCAAAGGATATGAACAGACATTTCACAAAAGAAAAACTAAATGTCCAAAGAATTCAACCTCACCGGTAATCAAGAAAAGCAGATTAGAGCTAGAATGATAATTTTGCCCACTTTCTTAGCAAAGACATAAAAGTTTGATGATGTCCTTATTTGGCAGGAAGGGAGGTACAGTAAGAAGTTGGCACTTTTTCTCAAGGATAGTTTGGTGAAATAAATTGGCTTTAAATATTAATAGCCTCTGACTCAGCAATTTTACACTAAAAATTGTGTTACAAGGAAATTAGAACTCCAGAAACCACGGCCCGGGCAGGAGTGTGGAAGGCCCTGCAACCATGTGTCCCAGAGCAGACCTCGTAGACGTTTGTCATAGAGGCAACGGGCTGGTTGTGTGATTGTGGACATCCTATGTAGGATAGAAGTTTCAGAAAGTGCACCTTTCAGCTTGGTGCAAGAATTGTCCTTGAGGGTGTGTTAAAAGTCTTCATATCACAAACCATGTCTTCAAGTCTGGATTCCCAGCTTGCATGGGGAGTTAGACTTTGCAATTTCCTGGCATGTAAGATGATGTGATGTATAAGAGTATGTGGTATAGAAAACTGCAGCCCAGGGCAGCTTTTATGACTGCATAGCACATATAGCACCTGCAGAGCTGTGGATCGTACTAAGACTTTTTTTCTCTTTCTTGTCTTCTTTTTCCTTTACCAGAATGTCCCCACAATTGGTGTCATTGCCGTTGTCTTAGCCACACATCTGTGCGATGAAGTCAGCTTGGCGGGTTTTGGCTATGACCTCAATCAGCCCAGAACACCTCTGCACTACTTCGACAATCAGTGCATGGCGGCCATGAACTTGCAGACCATGCATAACGTGACCACGGAGACCAAGTTCCTCCTCAGGCTGGTGAAAGAAGGAGTGGTGAAGGATCTCAGTGGAGGCATCCATTGTGAATTTTGAACCCAGAAACCCTCACTGGAAAATGCAACTCAGACTCAAGGGCTGTTTTCAATAGCCTGCTCGACGCATTTCATCCTGCAGAGTCTTTAAAGTGCAGCTGGCGTTTTGAACTTTAATTTAAAAACAAAACTAAAAAAGAGTTTAGCTCTGTCTCACTTGTTTTTCTATTTATTTGAGGTCAGTGTTTGTTTTTGCACATTTTTTAAGTTAATCTTGAGAACTGAATTGGAAAGACTTCTCAAAGAGAATTTTATGTAATGATGGTGTACTGAATTTTAAGGAAGTAATTTAATTTCTAAAAACTCTGTCCCTGTATACTGCACATCGAATGCAGGTAGTTCATTGGAAGGAGAGGGGAGATCACTGTGATGATGGCCCTGAGTCCCTGATTCTGGTTCTCTGCTGCTGTCTTTGGTGGCACCAGTGGAAGAGGCACTTTCAAGAAGACGTGCTCCGTAGCTAAACCACTGATGTGAGGTCAGCGACAGCTGCGTGAGGCCTAGGCTGGTGAGAGGCGTTTCCCAGCCCCTCCCTGTTGGTCTGCTGGAAAACTCACGGGGACCAACCAGGGAGCCGTCACGGAGGGACACAGAAGACAGTCTGTGACCTCCAACTACTGTGAAGCCTCCCCGGGCTGCAGAAGCCACAGTCTTCCCAGCAAGCACCCCAACTCTTGAATTTCTTGAGAATTTTTGTACTGCCTTTCCGAAGCACTTAAATGTTGTCTAACATGTCTGTCTGAGGTGGCTTATAAAAATAAGGACAAAACCTCCAGGGTCATGGGGAAGTATACCCTTTCCAGGCATAACCACATTTTTGGAAACACTGAAATGAAGTCCTCTCGGTGTTATAAATTGCCTTTTAAAAAAAAAAAAAGTTTTTGGCTGCCCACCCGGCAACGTATACCAGGCTATGTGCTGGTTAGAAAAATAAAAATAAAAGCTTATGAGAAGCTGTCATAGTCTTGTGAATTTGAGTACTTATTTGTTTTAAGAAAACAAGTCTGTAAGTCTCACCCAAGATGTCCTTCTTGGGTGCTGCTGCTAGGGAAACCATGTGCATGCTGGTAGTGAGGGACAGAGAGGGACAGGCCTGGTCCTGCAGACTGATCCCAGACAGCTGCGAGCTCTCGAGAGACAGTGGCTGTCAGTGGCTTCCTCCCGCAGACAGGCCGCTCTTCTACTGTCTCTTCACAGCCCTAGCCTCTGGGGTCAGAAGACCTGCCGCTCTCTGCTCCCACCCTGCCCCAGACGCCACTGCCGTCATCTCTGTCCTCAGCTGCTGTCACTCCTGTCCAGCCCCCTTGATTCTGGGTCCCTGCTTGTGCAGCCCCAGTGCATCCTTGGCCCTCAGCCCATTCTCATGGCTTCCTCTACTCCCTCCTCAGCATATGCAGGGCCAGATCACAGTCCCTTTGAGCTCCCTTCGATCCAGGGTCCTGCTCAGAGTGGCCGGCAGAGCAAAAAGAGTATTTCTCTGGTTGCATGCCTGAGAATTTTGTGTGGGTTTTGCTTTCGACTTTTACAAGACACCGTTGAAGAGAAGATGTTTTAAAATTCTCACCCCTTGAATAACTTCAGTTTGAAAACCGAGACTCAGGAAGATGGTGCCCAGCTCCCTTGTGGCTAGGGTAGGGCAGGGCTTACACCACATGGCTCCACTCCCATCCATCAGGGGCCAAAGAAGCTTGAGCTTCCTCAGACAACATTCTTGATGCCATGAGCCCCTCCTGCGGGTGTCTGTGGACTCACCCCACCTGCTCTGCGAGGCTGCTAGGACATGCAGCCTTTCTCAGCTTGCGTGACTCTCGGTGCCCTCGCCCCCAGCCCCCGAGGGTGCCCTGTCCTGCGTCCCTGAGATCGCTCCGCCATGCCTCTCCACTTTCACACACTCACAAGGCACTAAGTAGGTGCCCTCAACAGCTACAAAGGTATAATGTCATAGGCCTTTTATGGAGTCACTGGCCCACAGAAGCTGGCCAGAGATCCCATTCAAGAACTTTTACCATAGTTTTGCCACTCCAGCCTGAGTGACAGAGGGACACCCTGACTAAAAAAAAAAAAGTGACTTTGAACACTGTGGCAGTTATTTGTTGTAAGTTTCGCCTTTTTCAGAGTTGCTCCCCGCTTCCACCCACCCCCACCTGCTTTTCTGGGAACAGGCCTTCCCTGGGTGCCTCTGGGAAGTCTACAGGTGATCTCCAGTAACAGGATTCACTGTTTTAGTGTCATGGGGTTCTTTTATTTTTTTAGTGTTAACCGATAGATCGTAGATATATATATTTTTGAGGTACATGTGATAATTTGATACATTCATACAGCTAGCAAGAATCAAATCACTGCAATCGGGATGTCCATCACCTTCAATATTTGTCTTTATGCCAGAAACATACAAATCCTTCTCTTCTAGCTATTTGGAAATACACAATAGATCACTGTACACTGTAGTCACCCTACAGATCTCCCCATTGCTAGGTCTTGTTCCTTCTACCAGACTTTTGTTGAACGATGACCTCTTGGTTGCCAGTGGTGTGGGTGACAGATGAGGTTTAATTATAACAGAAGGAAAAAACGGTCACACCATGGTCTAGGTTACCGAAGATTTCTAAAACCAAGGAGCGCTTTGTTTTGACTACATGCTAACCCTAGCATTTTGGCCCTCACTAGGTATAAAAGGGGTTATCAAGTTTGCTTCTGTACTGTCTCAAGAGAACCTTTTAGACCAGCATTGTTAGAAGATTAAGGAACGATGACATATTTTTTCCTCCTTGTCAGGGTCACAGCATCCAAGTGTGGGTTTTTTCTATCCTTTCTTTGGGACACTTCGGTAAGCCCACTGAGAAAAGAGAAAAGGAACGCTTCCTGCAATTCTACGGAATTTCTCTTAGAATGAAGTGAGCTCCCGGTACACTTGTGCATAGCAGGCAAGAGCTGTAGGACAGCACTGGGCCCTACCCTTCATATACACATAGTGACAAAATGCTTCCCTCAAACAAAGGGCCCTGGGGCCCTGCCCGTGGGACGAGTCCTCTCTTCCCAGGCACTGACCCTTCACAAAGGGGCACCCAGAGGACTACAGCATTCGGTTTTCAGACTAGAGGGCAGCAGATTCCAGTGTATCAAAGTGTACCCCAAAACACCACTCCCCACACCTTCCCCTGGAGAGCAAGACACCCCACTCCAACCTTCTGGCTTTATATAGTCTCAATTCCTACTTTCCAAAGTCATTTTTCACAGCTTAGATTTGTATTCAGAAAGCAGGGTATTTGTCTGGGTTGGGGTAACGCCTACCTAGACAATTCTTAAGACTGAATTGGGAAGGAGGACTATTCATTAAACTCCACACCCCCACAAGTTTTATGGACTCAAATGTAATGTTCCCCAAAGGAAACTGCAGTTTAACTTTCATTATCTGAATGATTAGGTTGGACTAATTCCCAATATTTTATTTCAACCCATCTAGCAGAGAAGCATTCATATTCACATAACATTATAGTGCAACAAAGATTAAATTTACTTTTATAATTTTTAAGATTGTGTCAATAAAACATGTAAGAAGAAAGACAAGTGTATAGATTTCCTTCTGTCTGGAAGAAGTGAGGTGTCAGGTTTTGCCTTGGTGTCAGGCTACCATCCAAGACTTGGCCAACACAGTAGTTCTGGCCTTTGAGTAGCTAGAAGTGTAACAAAATGAATTTTCAGGAAGCATAAGAAACTGACTCATAGCAGCAATGCCAATAGCTGTTGCTAAAATTTGGACGTTCTAAAAAAGCAATCTATTTCCATTCCATCCTCAGTTACCTGGCCTATGTTTGATGTCTTGAAGAAAATCAGTTTCAAAAAAAGATTGATATTAATTACAGTGAGTCCATTTACAATGCCATCTGGGCCTCTCATATGAAAGACCACCCTAAATTACCATGACAAATGACTAAAGACAGGGGCATATATATGCCTTGAGCTTCAGGTAAGGCCAATTTGCGTCAGGTTAAGGACAATTAAGAGCAGCAGTCAAGTGAAAGAGTCGTTTCTTATTTTTATTTTTTTTTTATTTTTAAAATTTTTTTATTTTAAAGATTCAGGGTGCAATCCAGGTTAGGTATATAAATGTTCATTATTGAAAAAGTAGTTTCACATCTATTATTACCCGTAAGATATCCTGTCGGGCTGGCTCATTTGGCGTGAGAGGCAATATAGACTGTGAAGTCAAACATACATCCGCCACTCTTTAGTGACAAAATTTGATACTTTATTCCATCTGAAGCCTTTATCTATAATAAGGCCTTGCCTATTGTAGGCATCTGATACATAGGTTTTGATTTTATTTGGGTTCGTGTCTCTGATGGAACTTGAAGATGGTCAGTTGATGGTCTAAGATGGAACATAATGAAGAGCTCTCAGGTCTGGAATCTTGGTTAAGGGAGACTTTTATGCTTAGGGGAATGGAAGTAAGTAACCCAAGCAATAAATGAACAGTCACCTTTTTTTTTTCTATACATAATTGTGCTGGTGATTAAAATGATATTTTAAAAGAACGTGCCAAAAGCCAAATCAGCCCATTTCATGACTGTATACATAACCATACAGTTTGGAAAACCAGCTTATGGCTAAGTCACTTTTAGAAGGGGCTCTCCTGACCACTTCTAGCTCAACCTGAATTCACTTCAAAGTGTTTCCATGATGATCCTCAGACCCCGCCCTCTCTACAGTCCTGACCTACAAAGTAGGTCCTGCATTGTCTACCTTTTCAAAGGCCTGACAAGGCCTGACAAGGTGTATCAAAGTATGGGGTGGCATTTCAGACTGTTGGGGAAGTTCCTGAAGTCCGAGGCTCTATGTTTTGCATTCAAGGTGGTTGTAGTGTGTTTATTGAGTTTTATGAAATTTGGAGACCAAGATAGTATCATATATTTGTCTGCTTTCTTGGGAGGGGGGCATCCATTGTGTTCTCAATAAAGATTATTTTTAAAGCATGATAATTTCTAAAGATCGAATCATGTCGATCAACCCCCTGCTTTGGGTTTTGAAGAAGGAGTGAGTTCCAAAATCTTCACACACAGGCTGCCTCTATCTGTTTGGGCTGCTATAACAAAACACCACCGACTAGGTGGCATGCAAACAACAGAAACTTATTTCTCCCAGTCCTGGAGTCTGGGAGGTCCCAGATCAAGGTGCTGACAGATGCAGCGTCTAGTGAGGTCCCACTTCCAGATTCATAGACAGCTTTTTGCTGTGTCCTCACATGGTGGAAGGAACATAGGAGCTCTCTCCATCCCCACCCCCCCGCCTTTTTTTTTCTATTTCACCCTCATGGCCTAATCACCTCCCGGAGGCTGGGGGTAGGGAGATGACTGGAGAAAAGCTAGGATGGGAGCCAGGAGGCAAAGAGGCAGCCCCACCTTGGCCTTGACACTTCCACACGCTTCGGGGCAAGCCAAAGGCCCTCTCCAGGCGTCTGGTCTGTTAAACAGGGCCTTGGCGGGGCCCCAGCTTTCATTAATTTCTCTTTCATGAAAGACCGTCAAGGCCAAAGGCAGCGGCGGGTGGAAGGTCCACAGTGCCACCTGGTGTCGTGAGGCCGAGCGCGCTGCTCTCAATACTGGACAACCAGGGCCCGCCCTGCCTCCTTACCCCAGTGGGTCTGACCCATTCTTCTGCAGGGTCCAGCCGGCTCTTGCGACCTCTTCAGCTGCTGGGGCGTTTCTTCCTGCATTGTCTGGATCTTCCTTCTCCGGCCACTTCTGTTTGGGCTTTCCTTCCCCCTCCCACGTCTCCACCCATCATCTTCTCCCCTTCTCCTTTTCTTTCCTTGGAGAATCAGCCAAAATTACCTGCTCTGATATTGCCTTTCTAATTCCCACCCCCAGGTCTGCAGTCTCCCCTCCAGCACCCCCCGCCCAGCACGTTCACCTCCTTTAAGACATTACCTCCTCCCAGCTAGCCAGGACCTTAGACTCCAA